ACAAGCTATGTTGAAGCTTATCGAACTCAAAAATGCTATACATTTGTAAAACAAGGGTTATGGCAACTACACCGTCAGCTGGTGTGAACTGTGACAGTTTGTATGGTTTTACTTAGTTTAACTGCAGTATTCTAACACTTTTGCCTAACTGTAGGTTCTCAGCAAGAAAGAAGTCAAGTTGAAATTAACCATCTTCAAAATGAATTGGATACTCTTTCTTCATGTCTTTCTCATTAAGATATTAAATTTATAGAATTACAATCCCAGTATACCAATCTTCAAGATCAATATTCACGAGTACAATTGAGAGTTAAACATTTAGAACGTAATTCTGATACCCAATATGTTCAAGATTCACAACAAGAAATTAATCGACTTCACCAGAATTTTGCTTATGCTGCTGATTAATTACAACAAAGGAGTCAAGCGTTTAACTTTTCATATGATTTTCATTTCCATCAGGAATAATACAATTGGGAGTATTTCTTTCTCTTTTTATAATCTCTTATCCCTTATAATGATTTCATCATTTCTTTCTGAAAGGCTTTCTATAATTCCTTTTCAAAGTAAATTTTCTGATTGCAATATTAACATTTTTCTTTTGTTTATAATAGATAATTCCACTATAAGCTGTTCGGTATTATGTTTCTTTTGTAAGTTTTTGTTTCTCTTTTGATAAAATACATTCTATCTGTTGAAAATTTAACGAATAATACTTAAAGTTATTGTGATGTTTTGAGTTTACTATAGTATTGAGGGGATGCTACACATCCGATACTTTCTGAGAATTGAAAGACCAGAGATTGAATGGAGTTAATATAAGCGCTGTATTAATATAGATATTTTTCTCATTTTTCTTTTCAGTCACTATATTTTTTTCCAGAAACATAACTCATATACGTTATCAAATATAAAGAAGAGTTGGTCGAATCATCAAAGAGAACACGTAAAAGAAAGAAAAGAACAAATACGTAATGAATGTGAGCTACCTTGTGGATTTGGTGAAATGCCTGAACTGCAATTATTGTATTAGGACTGTTTCTGAATGGCAACTATCATTTTGGAAATGACTGGGTTTATTAGACTAGTTTCGTTTAGTTGAGTTACGCATAAACTAATGTTTTTCTTTTCTTGTTGTTTCAAACCGAAAATAGATTCCAAGATTTCCAAGAAGTTTATAACACCTTATATCAAGATTTCCTTCAAATCCAATGAGAAAGAAATCTTCTTCAAACAAATTCTCAAGCACAAACTCAAGGATTACAAGAGACTTTAGATATAGTTCATAGTAGATACAGATTTATCATGCAATAACTTCTCGATCGAAGTGTAGAATATGAATTTCGTGTGAGGTTTTGTCGTCTTCATACTGATTAATTATAAGTTTCTCTTTTTATATTTATTTTTATGACTAGTTACTTTTAATTTTTATTCGAGGGGGATGCTGTACGCTTTGGCTGTCCTTGAACTATGCTTTGTCATACGCTTCAGCTATTCATGAGACTACGCTTCCCTTCCTCTCTTTTGTAGCAAAATATATTTTTTTTTCTCTATATGTCTTTTTATCTTTTATTTTCTTTAAAGATTATGTATTTTTCAATATTCAATAAAATTTTACGTATCATTGCACTTTTGCTTATTAATAAATTTTAACTATTCATTTTTTTAATTTCCATCATTTTACATTATTAATCACAATTTATTAACGCTTTCTTATTTTCTTTTCATCTTTTCATAATATTACTGCAAATTTCCATAATCTTGATTATTTTCTTTGACATTCTGGTTATTATTCGATCATGTTGTTCTAGGCTTATCACATATTTGTTAAAACTGATTCTAACATCTGTTGCAGTCTGAAGATGATGCGTCCATGGGTTATTCATTTAGAATATGGAGTTTTGGTTATAGCAGTACTCAGATTCGATTCAAATAAGTCAATTAGAATCATACTGTATGGGATTCAATTTCTTATATGATCATCACAAAATTTCAAATAAATATTTTCAAGAATTTATCTTACGGTATGTGGCATATTAATAATGAAGATTTCTTTCCAAAACTTCTCTTGAACCTTTTCAGCACGTTTTCTTGAATATCTCGGCATCCAGTCATCTGTTAGAAAAAAGGGTGTGGCAGCCCTAGCTCAGTGGTTAAACTACGATTCTCCTATAAGTTAAAGTTTCATTACACAGCAATAGGCCATCAGTTCAGGTATCAGCCGATACATAAAACTGTATGATTTTCCATAAGGATTTTCTTTGTAACTGAAATGATAGATGTATAAACTAATATGCGTACAAATTTGGTTAATTGATCTGTTGATTAATGTTAGTCATGCCTAAATATTGCATGTGTTAGAACAAGTAGATGCAAATGAAGCCTAGGATCAACAGAAACTTGTCCTTTACTGATTGGCCTTTAATGGGTACAATCTTACATTTACTATGGCAGGAGCCCTTATTTCCGTACGTGGTCACTGTTAAAAGTGATTACATGTATAAAATAAGAAAGTGATTGACCAAACATTAGTAGATTAGGTAACAAACTAGTAATAATTAGACTGCATTGCATGCTACAGTACTGGTCCAAATTAAGCTATTACTAGGGTTAGAGGTCAGGTTCAATTCCTAAGTTGTTTGACATTTTGGGTATCAAAGTCACCTAGTTAAAAGTGGTCTATACAGATATGGTAGCTCCTGGGACATAAGCTGTGTAAGGTTGCTTCATATCAAAGTCAAACCAAATAATTAGATCTTGATTATAGTTTGCCCAGACTGCTAGTAAGAATAGTGATGATGTTCACTATGACTGCGATGTGCCCTCTATCTAAATTTAACAGTACCAGGGTTGCTAAGGTACCTATTCCCGCATAAAGGATTATGCGACTTAGGATGTCATACCTTAGATGGCACAACCTAGGAGGATGTGTTCAGTGTCAAGGGAACCTAAAATATGGGACCAAAGGTTAAGGGTGTCAAGACTGCTATGTATTCCATCGAGAACACCTGACCTTCCTCAAAGGGGCTTAAGGAGCAATAAGTTGGGCATCCCATCTGAGCCATCATAAAAAAAAAAGTGATCCGTTAGAAATGCAACATATATCATTTTCAAGAGTGCAATTCAGTGTATACAATGGTTCTGATTTCACGAAATTCTGATCTATAGATTACGAGATAATGGCCTCTGAGACTTTGGTATTATTTCACTATTTTACAGAAATTGCTTTTTATGGCGAAGCAGAATCATTCAAGATGGATTTATCTTCAAATTCCTTTTCATTTTTATCTTTCCATTAAAATTCTACTTTCTTCAATGCTTTATACTCGTAATAATGCATTACTTTTTTTTCAACATTTGTTGCTGATTGGTCTAATTGTGAGTAATTTGTTATCAAAAAATTTTTGTTTACTACAAATTCAATTTCTAAATCCATTTATCATTATCTACTAAATTTTCATTCATTTTCCATTCCATTATTTCAGAATTTTCACCATAACAAGTATCACTATTGTGATTTTGAGATTACTAGAATATGTTTATTTATCATTTACAACATTGTTTTCTATTAATATATTTTGAATACTTTCTTCAAAATATCATTGATTTTTGCCTTTTGATTTCCTTCACAAAGTCACCATAAGATAGTCTTTTCACAGTTTCTTTTTCCAAATTTTTATTTTGTATTTCCTTTTTAAGACATTTCATCAAATGATACCATATCGCATAATATATTACATAACTTTACTTTTCAATCGCTATTTTCCAATATTGTAAATGTTCTACATTATTTTAATCATTCAAATAAAATATATTTTGCAATTTAAAATTCGCTCCAATGTAATTTCAAAAGTAATTCTTGTAATTTTTCCTTTTAACCATTAAGTTCAATAAGTAACGCAATTCCAGATTATGTAATTTATATTAAATAAATAATTTGTTGATCGCTACTCAAATTATTTTAAGTGTTATCCAGTAACTAAATTAAGACATTATCATTGACCAATGTATCACATCAAAATTCTATAACTCAATTTGTTGAATCGATTTAACTAACTTAAAATATTTCAGTGAAAGATGTTTTAGTGATTCCCAGCATAAAATTAATACAACACTTTCAATATAATATTTCAATTCTAATCATGCTGATAGTTGTTTTCGTTCCTTATAAGGAGCACCAAAATGTTACGTCCAATTTGTAACTCAAATAAAATTCACAAATATTAATAATGCTAAGACTAAACTTAGGGAATCACAACAAAGATTCTTAGTAAATGTCAAAGATTATTCTCAATTAAACACGAGTAACTTCTGTATATTTCAGAGATTATGTTTCAGTGACTACACCTTAAGTCAATACAATAAATTAATACAATACCACGTAAAGTTAATAAACAATAATAATATATACACAGGTTAAAGGGTTGCAAAGGATAAGTTTTAACTTGGTTAATTATACTCTTTATTGATTATAATAAATTGTAAGTTCTTTACCTCGTAAGGTATTGAGACTTAATAAAAATACAGTGATATTTATACATGTTTGATAATTATAAAATGAACTAAACTAAATAAATCTATGAAAAATAAATGACATCATCAAGGAAATAAAGTTGACAAAATCGATCAGCAAAGATGATCATGTCAATAAGTTGACCATTACACTGGAAATAAAATTAACATCTGAATCTACAATGTTTCACATTGATTATCTCAGAACATAAAGTTAACATCAGGATTAACAAGATGATAAACAACGACATTTAATTGACATTGAATTTGTAATCAGATTTTAGCCAAAATTTTACACTGTTACATCATTCAATTACTTCAAAGAGATATTTGAGCACTTTGGTTAAAGGAAATCAACTTTTGTTGCATCAATAAAATTGCTTAGCAGGTTCGAAAATATGTGTATATAAATGTTTATTATGATTAGATTAATAGTTGTAAAGTTATAAATGTTTTTTGTGATTGTATTATCTCACAAAATATTTTTATTTTTTTATTTATTTAGTGAATTCAAAGGGCTATTTAAGTATTTTGGTCAAAAGAAATCAACTTTGGTTGTATAAGTAAAGTTATTCAGCGGGTTTGCAAATATGTGAGTATAAAAATATTATTATAATTAAATTAATAGTTATAAAGTTATACACATTTTCGTAATTGTATTATCTCACGATTTTTTTATTTTTATTTTTATCTGTACAGTAAATTCAAAGAGATATTTAAGCACTTTTGTCAAAGGAAATTGACTTTTATCAAGTAAGTAAAGTTGCCTAGCAGGTTTGAAAAATTATGCATACAAATTTTTATTATGATTGGATTAATGGTTGTAAAATTATAAACGTTTTTCATAATTGTATTAGCAGTCACCTGATTAGCAACTTGTAATTTTAAATTCTGCAGTTAAAATAATTATATTAGCATTTTTTTTTTTTGAAAAATAATCAAATGTAAAAATGTATCAATATTTTTTTATATTTTTTTAAAAAAAATATTAAACAAAATTAATAATTTTTAGTTTTCTTTTTTAGACAGGTCAGGAGTCAGATCAAATGTATATTTAATTCAGGTCAATTTTATATCTGACCCGACCTGACCTTATCAGATCGGGTCAAGTCAATTATCGATCCGACCCGACCTGTTCGGAGCTCTAAATGCAACACGTTATCATTTTGAAATATTTCTTTTAATTTTTAGAATTAATTAAAAAAAATTCAAACTAAAATTCCTTTAACATTTAAATTAAGTTACACCGTTGACAATTCGGCATTAATAATATAAATTTACCGATTTGGTAATAGGCGTAACTTGTTTTACCATTTTCCTATTTTGCCATTTCGCATATTGTCCATTATTTTGACTTAGACTTTCGCCCATAGTTTAGGAATTGATTTGGGCGAATACGAAACTGTTAATAGGTGAAATATTTCGCCTTTTGAGGTTGAGATATGTCTGCACCCTGGCAAATTTTTCAATTAGTGTTACAGAAACAAATTTAATTATAAAATTACTGCGTATGATATGTACAGTATACTCGTTTGTGCCGCAGTAAATGCATATCGAAATTTAATGACACGTCATTCGTGATCATAGTCAGGTATAATACTTTATATAACGGCATCTTTGGTGGTTACCCGTTCTTTTTATTCTCAAATAATAATATTATAAAAGATGTTTGAACAAGTTAAATGCGGAAAAGGCGTTGGAGAAGGAAATATTCGACAAACATATGGGAACGTTTCCAGTAAAATCAAGTCATGAGGCATAGTAAATCATATGATCTATAATGTGATTTTGCTGGAAACGCTCCCATATATTGGTTATGATGGTAAGTTATATAACTTTGCAATTTGACTTAGTAAAAATTTGGTTTCTAACCAATTTTTAACTTTCTAGCTCTCGTAAATTATTTAAGGAATCAATCAAATATATCGTATCAAAGATTTCTTAAACTAAACCGCAAGATCATTATTACTTCCATTGATTCCGTTACTTCATTGTCTTCTGAAGAGCTCGACGACATTTGGGCTCTTCATTTCATGAAAGAAGCGGAAATGGTTTTAGAAGATAAGGGGTGGTTTTTTTTCATTTTGCAAAGGGAGGTAACTCCTAATCGGCTGCGGTTGACTTAGGAGAATTACTGGATAGGCTAACTTGTAACCACTCCAAGCACTCTATTCGGGCACCTTAACTTTGTTGTTGGTAAAGCTCTGCTAATTTTGGAGGAAATTGCTAAGCACCACTAAATAAAAAAAATCCCACATTGCTAACAAATGCTTTTTTAAGTTGGAACGAACACGTTTCTCGAAAAGTTTAGAAGGTTACTGGAACAACATTATTAAGGAGTATAAAATAGTAAGTAAATCAACTTATTTTTGCTTTTATTTATCAGTTATTTAACATTATTTCTGATGCTTTGGATTGTTCTTCAGGAATTAGAAACAAGATATTTCAGAATATGAAGCAGAAAGGCAACGTATTCTTTATGCGCTTTCCGAAATAAACAAAAAAATAAAAATGAAAATGAAAAAAGATGAGCTCAAGAATTCCGAAATATCCTCGAAAGAAGATAGTTCTGGTGAAGATTATTTTTTAGGAATCGGCGGACCTGGACCTAATGAAGGTGGTTCTAGTTCCCGGAGATCCATCCAATACCAAACGAATAGTATGACAGATAATTTTCATATCAATTACACCCAAGATAATGAGAAGGATGGACCTAGTATGCCAACATTCGATCATGTTGACAATATCTCTTCATTTAAACAGAATAGTTATAATTCAACAATTAATGGTAGCGAAATTGCCCCAACATCAGAACCCACATTCTCGAAAGAAGATAGTTCTGGAGATTTTGATTTAGGAATCGGCGGACCTGGACCTAATGAAGGTGGTTCTAGTCCTCGGAGATCCATCCAATACCAAACGAATAGTATGACGGATAATTTTCATATGAACGGAAAAAGCAATTACTCCCAAGATAATGAGGAAGATGTACCTAGTATGTCAACATCGATCATGTTGATAATGTCTCTTCATTTAAACAGAATAGTTGTCATTATTCAACAATTAACGTTAGCGAAATCGCCCCAACATCAGAATCCACATATGAGACAGTACAACAAGCCAACAGCATCAGAAGTTGCAGTTCTTCTCTGCGACTATGATATTCAACCAGATTATCGAGATATTGTTATACAAACTAAAGAAAGACAATTAAAACATATCTCTGAATTGAATGGTGCGTACGATCCTTTGCAATATCCTTCTATTAAGCATACAAGTGGTAGCTATTATGAGAATACTGACATCGAGTTTAGCGTCTGCTCAACACGTGATATTCTCCAAAACAGACGAGCTTATTCCGATGATGGGCCCCTACGACAAGAAAATTAGAAACCGATAATTCTCTAATTCAGCTTCATAATGTACCTTCGGATCTGGAAGAGGATGAACAAAATAATAGAAAAAGAAAAAAAAGAACAGCACCTACATTGACCCGTAAATCTAATACCCGAAACAAAGAACGGGTTAATTATTATGTAGGTTCTCAGAAAAAGAAATGCCAAAGAAATAAACCTGTAAGTATAACTAAATATTAGTTTACAGATTCTATAAATAAATATGTATACTGATAATAATATCTTAGGCTCATCATTATCTTCAACTCCTCGATCACTACCATCACCGATATCTCCTCCTTCATGATCGTCATCATCATCTCCAAGGTCCGTTCATTTTGAGCATACCCTTGGAATACCAGTATGACGAAGCTTCAGCTTCTGGCACAAATGAATAAACAAATTATATTTTTTAAAAATACTAACTTTTGCTTTATTTACTTTATTAATTATATAGGAGAGACCACAAAAGAAAAAGCAATGTTTGAATTGCTCCATACATTGTCCAGGAAAAGAAACCACCTAATCCGTTTTGGATATTCTTAATTTTTCATTATGTATTTCGTGTATAATATTATCAAAGAAAAGAAACTGCTTAAATTCATTTATATATTCTTAATTTTTAATATGTATTTTCGTATATACTGTAATTCTCAATAAAAAAAATCTTCTAATCTCATTGCTGTAAATAAATGAGATTTTTTAGTACACACGAATTACCATTTCGGAAGAATTAGCATTTTTCTGATGCATATGTACACTTTCCAAATACATCACACATTTAGCATACATGGTTAAAATCACGAGCCCAATATGGACAATTTATCTGATTATGTAGGTAGGAGATCGAAATTTTTGGATGTTATACAAAAAAACACCTTAATTTTTTGCATATTAGGAATAACGATTTCCGGTTTTTCATCATACCATATTTCAAGAAGAAAAATTTCATTATCTTGACATGCACCTTATTTGCCAATCGCGATTAGCGATGTCCTCGAGTTTTTTGACATCTTTATACCAGCTAGTGCTATGAAGCCGATGTTGAGCCCCTTATAGTGAAAAAAATGTTGATGGTATGAAAATGGCATACGAAAAAATGATAGTAATCCTAGGAAAGGTTAATCTGTGTATTACCTTTAATGATGGCAAGAATGTAAAAACATACCTAGTGAATTCATAGTTGTTGGACCATATTGGCCTGATCATTTTTCTGAATTAGTCTTGGAAATGCTGTGGTTGTGAGAAAATGGTGCAAGCTTTGAATGTGTAAATTCATTGCTAACAATAGATGATAATTTTACAATCCCATTTAAAGAAGTAGATTATCTTTCGATATTATCTGATAGTCAAATCTGAGCTATGACTAATTTTTCTCAGTCCAACTTGACCTTGCCAGTCTGGAGTGGTGACCACTAACATTATTTTTTTCTGATCTGAACAAAGTAATCTTGCCCAATTTTGAGACTAGTGATTAGTACTATGTTTTTGTGATGCTACAGTGATTGAAATTTGCGGGACTGTCAGTCTCACATTATGCCTATGCAACAAAAAATGTAGAAGTGGTATGCCACTGTAGATTAGCTAACTTGTTCTAGACATGGATATTAATTAGTGCTAGCTGATTTTTTGACGAAAACTTTATGCAATTATCAAGAAGAGATCTTTGAAATAACAGAAGTCCCTCCTTAGAAGCGTGTCAGAAATCAGCTGATTTCACTTTATTAAAAGGCTGACCCTCACCTGATAATAATTTTGATTGGCTAAAAAAATTATATATAAATACTATGAAACTGAAAAGTAAAATAGTTAAATTATAATAGTTAAATAGTAAGTAGTCAAATAAATAAAAAATAAATTAATAAATAAAGTTATTTTTGATCCATAAGTTCCTTTCTCTATTATTCTAAAATCAATTACAAAAGAATTAAGATGTGATTTATTTATATAATAATTATTTAATTATGCATTGAGATAATGATTAATGCAATATGATATGTATGAAATCTTTGGAAAATCCATAGAAAAAATGTGAAAACACACTTTTATATTCTTCTTTACATTCTTTTTTTTAAACAAATATTCAAAGTTTTTTAAAAGCATCAAAAACTTTTTTATAAATAATCCCAAAATAAATATCAAGTATTTTGCAATACATATATATATTACAAACAAGTAATACTTTGTGACTTGAAGTTAAATTGTCAAAGAATAATGCAAAAATATGTAGCAGCTTAGAAGGAAGTTAAAAAAATGATAATATCTTTATTAAAAATAAAATTCAGAAATATTATGATATCACACCTTTTACTATTTGTTAGCATAGCAGACATTTGTATGATTGGTCAAATTGTATATCGATCATTTTTTAATTATCACTAAAATAATTAATTTTGATTGGCTCAATTTATTATTAAACTTAATTATAATATTAATATCGCTTTATTTAAAATTAATAAATTTTTTCATAACTATTTTAAGTAATTAATTTGTAATTTGAAAATTAAATAATAATTGCTTTGATAATTCTTCAGGTTTATATCTATCTGAAATAATTTCTAATCATAAATCAGCAATTTTATTTTCACTGGTTGAAATCAAAAAAAATCAGATATGTGATAAATCATTCATCAATCGTCTATCAATCAAACATAATCATCAATCAGCCAAAAATCAACCTAAATCAACCTGTCTGATTTATGATTGATTAGAGTTAAGCCAAAATTTCAATTCTGATTAGTCCAATCAGATAATGCAAAAATCGTCTGATTGGAAACTTCGTCTTAAAGGAACGATAAAAATTGTTCTTAAGAGTAAATACAAATCATTTCTAAGAAATGATAAAGATAATCGTTCCTTTTGGGACGATACATTATCTATCATTCAAGGAGACTTATTTAAAAAAATTATCCCAAAGGGATGATAGATCATCATCCTTATTGAACTATTAAAAAAATCATCCCAAAGGGACGATATATCATCATTCTTATTGAACTATCAAAAAAATTGTTGATGAATTATCGTTCTTATCGAACGATTTAAAAAAATTATTTCAAAAGGACAATAGATTATTGTTCAATAAAAACAATCAAAAAAATCATTCCAAAGGGACGATGAATCATCATTTTTATTGAATGATCAAAAAAATCATCCTAAAGGGATGATAGATCGATCGTTCATTAAGAATGATTTAAAAATCATCCCAAAGGAACAATACATCATTATTCTTATTGAACAATAAAAAAATCATCCTAAAGAAATGATAAATCATTATTCTTATTGAACAATCAAAAAAATTATCCTAAAAAGATGATGAATCATTGTTCTTATTGAACAATTTTCCAAAGGGACGATATATCATCATTCATTAAGAACAATTAAAAAATCATTTCTTTTAGAATAATGATCGTTCTATAAGAATGATTAAAAAATCGTTTCTTTTAAAATGATAATCATTAGATTTGAATAATAAAAAATCATTCCTTTTGAAATGATGATCGTTTGATTTGAACAATAAAAAATTAGACCTTTGCTGATTGGTCTATAATGGATACAGTTTTATGTCTTACCTGGCAGGGACCATTATTTCTGTATATGATTATAAGATTGTATAAAAATTAAGGAAGTGATTGACTAGAAATTAGTAGATTAGATTAACAGTGATAATAAATTGTATTTCACACTACAGCATCGTCTAATCGAGCATATCATTGGGTCTGAGATTAGGTTCGATTCCTAAGATATTTGTTAATATAGCCTGATCATCACTTTGCTAGTTCATCATTTGGGCAAATCTTGTGGTAATAATCCTATGAACCCTGCAGTATTAGTTGGATAAAAATATATCCTAGCAAGGTATATAGTGTAATAGATCCCTCAGTCCTATAGTGGTATGTAGTTTTCAGATAGGTGGTAACCAGAGGGAATGTTAAATCTTCTGTAAAGGCTTAATTCTGCTGATATATTACAATATCTGGATCAGTTCTACCGGTATGGGTTACCAATAGATATATGAGCCAGCAGAGACCTAGAATTGAGACTGACATATGGTTTTATTAGATTCTAGTCATAACGTCTCGTTCCAATCACCTGAACTAAAACAAAAAAAAGCTGATTCAAGTAATACTTTTCATACAGTTAGCTTTTCATATTCATTAGACCAGAATTAGAGCTCTGAATCAGGTCAGGTCAACCTGTGACCGACCTGACCTGACCTGAAAATTCAGATCAAGTAGACAAATTTTCAGGTCAATATCAGATCGGGTTAAGCTTATGACTAGGAATAGGGGTTAATTAATCATTATTTATGTTAATTAACATTGGTTAGATTTGGTTAATTAACCGTTATTTATGATTAACCAATCAAATTCAAGTTTTATTTTATATAATATAATCTATAATCAGCTATAATTAATATAGTTAAAAATAAAAATTCTCGTTTATGTTTATATTTATTTGTTGATTTCACATAGATCTTTTTATTAATCTTTTTTTGCATTTTTTTTCTCACATTATTGTAAAAAGAAAAGGAGCAGTTTGGAAGCATTGGATAATTATTAATGAAATAATAATACAATACATCCTTCTGTTCAATATAATTATTGCTCTAAAACTTTTGATTGTGATATTTCTAGTAGAATACAAACTCACTTTGATAATATTTGTCTTGGTGTCCTAAATAATGCAAAAACAAAATCCAAACTAACTTTGGAATCTTCTAATCCTACTCAATTACCAATTACTTTAACTCCTATTCCCATTGTAAATATCCAAATTAAACGATTAAAAACTACAAAAATTGATAATTATATTGATTATATGAGTAAAGAACAATAAAATAATCTTTAGCTCAAGCATTATTTGCAGCTAGAGTTCTATTTACTTTTCTTGAAAATGATTATGTTATTCAATTTTTTCAACAATTGTGTCTTGCATTTAAATTACCTAATCGAAAAAAACTTGCTAATGAATTACTTGATGAAGTTTTTGATAAAGTTAAAACTGAATGTGATAATCAAATTTTAAAAGCTAAATCACTTACAATGATTTCAGATGGTTAGTCTAATATAAATAGAGAATCAGTTCAAAATTTTATTATTTGTACTTCAAAACCATTATTTTTTGATACAATTTATTCTAGTAAAGAAAATCATACAGCTGAATAGATTGCAAATCAAATTATACAACAAATGAATATTATTGATATTAATAAATTTTTAGCAGATACTACAAATGTAATGAAAGCAGCTTGGCGAATTATTAAAGAAAATCATCTAAATATTATTTGTCTTGAATGTAATTCTCATGTAATTAATCTTTTAATTAGTGATATTTTAAAATTTGATCAAATCAAATTTGTTATTGAAAATGTAAAAAAATTAGTTAATTATTTTAAGGC